AGCTAACATCCATGCTAATCCTCCTCTTTTTCCTGAGAAGACCGGCTTTGAGCTAACATCTATTGCCAATTCTCCTCCATTTTTTTTTTTTCCCAAAGCTCCAGTAGATAGTTGTATGTCATAGTTGCACATCCTTCTAGTTGCTGTATGTGGGACGCGGCCTCAGCATGGCCGGAGAAGCGGTACGTCGGTGTGCGCCTGGGATCCGAACCCGGGCCGCCAGCAGCAGAGTGTGCGCACTTAACCGCTAAGCCACCGGGCCGGCCCAAAGCAAAAAATTTATAAAGCACTTAGCAAAGTCCATTGGACACAGTAGTTGAATATACTATAAGTGTATGTAGCTTACGATACAGTGTAATTATTTAGGAATATTGGAAATAATCTTTAACCACAAAAATTCAAATTTGTTAGCTATATAATTGTTAGATAAGTGACAAATTGATATTCTATTAAACCTTGGCAATTCTCTTACCCTCCAGTTTCGAATCCTCTTCAACCTACTAGGCGTTTTCTCCAATATTTGTAGAAACTCGTGTGTTAGCTCTAAAAATAAAATTTAAATTTAAAACTTAGAAGGTGTTTTTAGGATTTAAAGTTTTCTTAAGTGGGCAATATTAAGAAGGGATCTCAAGAGTTCATCTATTTCGCAGTCACCCTCTTATTCAACCTTCAGCATATACAGAAGTAGACACAGCTTTAAACTAGTATTTTCAAAGATGAATCCTTTAAAAAAAAAAAAAAAAATCACACCCCCTCTCCCCGCCCCAATTTTACATGTTTACTCAGAATCTCTGGAAAACTTAGTAGCATTAAAAAAAAGTCCCCCCAAACAGAAAATCTCCATTAGGCAAACAGCATAGTAATAACTGTCATAGGCAAGATCCATCAATAGATTCTTTAAAATTAGTGGGCAAAAGTTAGGGAAAAAAGCGCTATTTGTATAATCTTAACATACTTTCCTCAGGATATTTATGAATTACAAAGAGAAAAATAGTAACTTCACAATGGAGAAACCCAGCAGATACCACCTTAACCAAGTGATTATGGTTATCATCACCAGCAATAAGACACATCAACATGATGTACCCCTTGATAAGATGCACTGAGTAGGGCACAACCCATTTGTGGTATTCTTGCCAAAAATGCATAACTTCAACCTAATAATGATAAAACTTCAGACAAACTCCAATTGAGGAACATTCTATAAAAGAACTGACCATTATTCTTTAAAGTGTCAAGGTCAAGAAAGAAAAGACTGAAAAACTGTCACAGACTGGAAGAGACTAAAGGAGCATGTCAACCAAATGGCACATGGGATCCTAGAACAGAAAAATTAAGGAAATCCAAATAAAATCTGTAGTTTAGGTAACAGTATTATACCAATGTTAATCTCCTGGTTTTGATAATCATGTATTATTATATAAGATGTTAACACTAGAGAAACTGGGTGAAGGGTATACAGGAACTCTGCACTATTTCGCAATTTCTTTTAAGTTTAAAATTATTTCAAAGTTAAATGAAAAAAATTCTTCCACCTATGCTCATAACTTCCTAGCAATCAACATTATTAACATATTAGTAAACTACCCTGGTCATATTTTTACAACAATTTTTTTAAAATTTAGGATTACAATGAAATGACCCACTTTGCCAAAGTGGTGTGGTTATGAAGAATTATAGTTTTCTACCCCCAAATAGTGTCATTAATAAAGTTATTGGCAACTCTCAATTCAAATATTAGTATCAGGCAAATGAATTACATTACTATGTAATATAAATAATGCCAATTCAGTAGGGACTACACAGATTCACTTATTATTTTTTAGTATAAGTAAGCTTCTCTGTAAACTATTCTAGGCAAATGCTAAGATTGATAAAGAACACTAAGACAATATACAATTTGTCTCAAAGAAGCAAAGAACATGCCAAAACTCGGCACCATATGTTTACAAGCTGTGACAACTAATTCCTGCTAAAGTCTCACAAGGTTTTTGATCCAGTTTGGATGGAAAAAATCTAATGCCTGGACTACCAATTCCTCATTTGAAAAAAAGACCATTTTTCTACTCGGACACTAAATCTAGCAGATACATAATACTTCGGAGTCCAAAATTAACACGAAATTGTTTTGACACAATTTCTTTAACAGCTTGATAGTCAAAGATTAAATGCACATAAAGTTTCTGGTGCAAAACCCGGTACACAGCAGGCACAAAATGTTAAGCTTTGTTTTTCCTTTCTTAGGTATCCTATCCTATTAAATTTTATAGTGGAGGAACAAAAGAATCTGTCAAATAATCATTGCTGAGGTAATTAGCTACATGTACAAAAATCACAGTATTATGCTTAAAATAGAGGCCTTTCTCCCTTAAAGCTAATATACAGAAAAAAATTCAAAATACAGAAATACACATGAAGGTATGTTATTAATCATAAAAAAAACAAAAACAAAAACAAAAACACGCACAACACAACAAAAAAACCTTACAGCTAGGCCAAGTCCAACCCAATGTTGTTTTTGGAGCAGCCATTAAATGAATTATTTCAATAAACACTGATGCTTCAGACACCATGCTAAACTTCAGATACATCTTAATATCTTAAATTTTACTTTATTTTTTTGTGATCAAAACAGAAAAAACGCTGCTACATAATACGTTGAAAGTTTCAATGTGTTAAGTGTCCAAGATTTCTATTTAATGGCCCTCCAAATGAACAATGGACTTGAGCCCCTTCAGAATGGAAGCAGAGGGATATTTAGGGGGCCCTCATAACTTTACCTATAACCTAAGAGCAGGATAAAAGGAAGATTACTTGCTTTTTGTGAGTTTTATTTTAGCACCATGTATAACTATTTTTATTAAGGTTATGCCTACTTTATCTTATCTACTGACTGCTAAAGTAAGATGGTGGCATAGATAACCTAATTTTCAAGTCACAGATGAAAAAGAAACCTCCACTGGTTTTTAGAAGATGTCATTTCAAATGAGTGAAGATTTCCTTCCCCTCTGGATAAACTTTAAACAAAGAAGCATATTTTACCACAAGGGTAGGTAAACTATCACCAGTTGGCCAAATATGGCCTGCATCCTGTTTTTGTAAACAAAGTTTTACTGGAATACAGCCGCACCCATTCATTTATAAATTGCCTATGGCTGCTTTCCAGTTACAGTGGCAGAGCTGTGTTGTAGCATAGACAGCATAGCCCACAAACCCTAAAATAGTTACTATTTGGCCCTTCACAGAAAAGGTAACATACCCTTAAAAAACAAAAATCTAAGACTTTACTGGAAGACCACATTCCAAAGCCACAGGGGTCTCTCACTTTAGCTTCAATTTTGTACAGGAAGTTGGGGAAAGCCCACAAAAGAATAAGCTGAAAACCTAACATACATAGTTTAGTTATACACCTACATAGTTTAGGTGTATCTATGAGGTAAGAAGTGTTATCTATTTCTTTTCTGAAATCTACAGTACCTAGTTAAAATGTCTTAATTCCCAAGAATCTCTGACCTCTGGCAGCTTCTCTTATTTCTCAACCAGAGAAATTTTTATCAGGAGACCCCCAGATTGCAGGTTCATAATTTACGGACCGTGTACCCCTCATTTTTCCTTGTCAATTCATATTTAATAACACAAGGCAATAATGACACACTTTACCATCAGTGGAACTACAGAGCAAGGAATGTTATCCTGAAAACGTGTTTAGCTCTCTGCTTCACATCTTTTACAATAAAGTAATACCTGACTTTCAGTTTATACATTTTGAACTCAACAACATTAGTATACTTTACGTATTCTTGAACTATCAACCTATAGCATGATAAATCATATTGATGCTGGCCCTGATATCAGTTCCCCTACATTAAACCCGGCATACATGGAGTTAAAACCAAAAGCACTCATCCTCTTTCCCTGCTTCTCTAAGTTACATTCATATATAAATATTGGTTTTTTAAACCTCTGTATCCCTGAACTTCACAAGGCAGACAGAAGCTACAAATTGTTAAAAGCCCAGGTGGCCTCACCCTGGGCTCACCCTGAAGTTTTGGCTAACTACCAGTTCTGGAGGTTTGTAATAGGGAAACTGATATCCTGAAAATATCAAGAAGCTAAAGCTTCCCGGACCTCAACTCCTTGGCTTCCTGGTGCCAGAATCCACCACCCAGCATAGAGACAGACAACCAAGGACACCCACCTGCGATTCCCTTATCTCACCATCCTCCTCTCTGCCGGGAGCCTCACAAGGCCAAACACAGGTTGGTGGGAAAGCGCCAACCAGCAAGGCCACAGGCTCCCCCTCCCCACAAGCAGCTACATTCCTCACAATCTTTAAAAGCCCTTTGCCTCCCATCTTACGGGGAGATGGGACAAACTTGAGGGGTCATTCTCGTCTCTCAGCTGACATCATCCAAAATAAAAATGCCTTCCTTGCCATAAGCCTGGCATTCCAGTTTTATTTGGCCCCTCTTGTGTGGTGGGTAAAAGAACGTGTGCATGTGTCTGGTAACAATATTTCTTTGAAAAGTTCTGAGAGGGCTTTAGATATTCCATGGTGGTTAATATATGTTCAACTTTTTCCCTTTAAGCTAATGAATCTTTATTTTCATCCTGTTCATTTGATCATGTAATTATACTTTTAAATTCTATCACCAAATCGTTAAAATGAAACTACAGTTATGTTTTGAAAGGGTCTTTATCTTTTGAAATACAAGTTGAAATATTAATAGATGAAATGATATCTGGGATTAGCATCAATGTAACTATAGGTGGAGGGGGGATGTTGGATTGGCCAGAACTAATAACCGTTCAGTTAGCCAATGAGTATATGGGGATTCACTATTTTTCAAACCTATACAGAAGTAGACAGAATTTTTCCATAATAAAAAATAAGAAATATTTTTAATGTAAACAAGGATTTCTTTTCTGTACTTACCATCTAGTAATTCTAGAGTAACTGTAGGATCCACATATTCCCACCAATGTTTTCCATCAGTTGACACGGGAATCTCCCAATTGGACCATTTGCAAGCCAAATGAATGCATACACATGCTATCACTGTTGGTTTGTACTGAAGACAGAAGGTTGTAAGATGTAGACTGTTGTGGAGCAGGTGTGAAAACGAAGAGCCATAGAAATTCAAATATGTAAAACAAAGAAAAATATTTACCAGTAAGATTAGAGCAAAAACAAAATTATAAAGGCTTTCTTCTTTAAGTCTAGAGTACAAAAACTTATTTTATTAAATTAAAAGTTAACACTATAGTTATAAAAATTCTAATACTAAAAACCTGATATAGATTATGAACATTCCCTCCACTCCCATTCCCCACAGTATTATATTAATATTTTATTAATACTACTTATATACTGACATTTCTAAATTTTGTTTTTACATCTAAATTCAAAGTATTTTTACTTCTTTATAAAAGGAGGGGGAGATAGTATCTTTTCAAAAATCACTATATATAAGTAAAACACTTTAAACTTTTTTTGGTGGTATTTTTGTTTCTTTTGTAATGTTATGGCAAAAAAGTAAAGAAAAAGCAAAAGACTCTTTGTAAAATTGACAAAAGTAATTTTGACATCACATTATATTCAGGGATTCTACCATTTGATGTGGCTCAACAAACATAATTCTCAAGTAAGTCAAAGAGAATTGAACACTTATCTATGTAAACCTCTGTCTTCTTTTCAGCAAAGCCACAGAGAAAACTTACCTTTTGCTGAACAGCTTCAAGGCCCAATATGTTGCTAAACACTACAAAAAACACTACCTTTCTTCTTCCACTATATGCCAAAAACTGGACATGTAACATGTCACAACTTAGCTTTTCTAACCAAAGTTTTAAATTTAAGTGTGTTTTTTTTGTTGTTCAGAATTCCTAGGGACAGAGGTTAAATCCCAACAACATATATCTAAGAAAATATATTGGTATTTGCCAATCTAAAGTTTTTAGTAAACTTAGTGTCACAAGAAATTAAGAACCACACAAAGCTGGTTTGGTTCCCTCCTCCCCAATGACCCATTTAAATAACAAATTTAAATCATTAAAATATAATCAATGCAGAACAGAATTATATATTAGATAGTAAAGGCTTTTAAAAACTATTCTTCCAGTTCAGTTTTAGAACTGATGAAAATGTTTACTGATCACCACAAACCCATACCATTTTTTCTTTATATAAACTGAAAAGGAAGCAAGTTTTTTCAAAGTAAAAACTGTACTTAAGAAATCCAGGCACTGATAGGACTTGACTACTTCTAATTTACTACCAGTGGGTATTATATGGAAAAAAATCCCAAGTTATATAAATTTTATTTATTAAAAAAACTTTAATGATTATTTTAAGTTTGGATCAATGTGAAATTTTAAAAAATCGTCATTTAACTATAATTGTAAACTAGAAATAGCTTTATACTTACCAAGTTGCTCGAATTTCTACGTTAAGTTTAGCTCTTTGTAATCTTTAGCTGCTATTCAGGCTACCAATTTTAGACTTATGCACTCACAAATCGAGAATATGTCATCAGAAAGCACCACTACACTTCACATTGTGCATTTAACCCCTCTGTGCCAAAAGTCCCTTGTACAATACACCGCAAAGCAGACAGGAAGGTACCACCACAGTAGATGGTCCAGTCTCCTGCTGCAACAAGGGTAAGAGACACATTGAGGGGGCCCTGCATTAAAGGAAGCTATAGTGTGCTACAACAGTGCAATAAAGAGGGTCAGGATAACAACCTGTTGGTAGCCATGAAATAGGATGTCTGTGCCAAATCCTTGCTTGCTGTAAGAAAAGAAAAAAAAACGAAGACAATACTATCAGCTTTAACATGCTAACATCAAAAAGTTCTCAACACAACAAAAACTTCAAAGATGTGTACACAAAAAGTAAATTTTACTTACTACTTACAAATATCACAAGAGCGCCATCATTTTCTATACTACTGAAAATCTTCAACAACATTCACTCAAATGTTTCTTGCTATCCCCCAAAGATCTGAGAAACAAGCCGATTTGCTTTTAGCTAGCCAGTTACAAGGGCTAAACTTGTTACTAAGTTAAGCATCTAGTCAGCTAAAAGTTGCAATAAAGCATTCTCCTGGATTTAAAAAAAAAAGAAGAAGAAGAAGAAAAGATTTTGAAGTCTAATACAAAATACAAAGAGTTGCCTGCCAGACTTAATCCTCAGTCATCATATTTAAGTTGGTTTAAGTACTTCCATCAAAGCAAAATAAAACAAAACAACCCCCCACCCCCCAAACTCAGAGAGCACAAACTGCTCAGTTGTTCATCATGCTAAGTGTCAACACAGAATAAATTACCTAGAAACATCATAAGGGCGTCAATATAGAAAACTCCACTGTATTATTTTTTAAAAAATTATAGAATCCAATTAAAGATAAACTTTAGAAAAGATAGAGGTACTCTAGGGGGAATCAGGATGCTTCAACACCGGTCCCCAATAGAAAAGCAATTTTTAACAACTAGCTTCTGAAGACATTGAAATTGAAAAGTCCCCACCCTGGCTCCCTTCTGCTTCTTATTCTTCCCAAGAGGGATGCCACTGCCATTGCTTCCCTTTTTCCCCAATTACATTCATAATCACTGACATACCTTTCCCCTCTGCTCACCTAGGATCAGTTCATCTCAACTCACCCCTCTCTAACAGGCCTCACATTCCTTGCCCCCTCCTATTTTTATTCGTGGCACCTGTAATCCCTGGTGCCCCATGTGGATCATCAACATAAAGGTTTACAAAAGGGATTTGGGCTTAGCAGAGTTGTGCTAAGGAAGAGTGTCAAAGCATCAGATGTCTCGGAGGCAGTGTGACTTAAGTATGTCATTCTTTCCTGGTGGGGAGGGAAGGAAAAATCACAGAAGTGAAAGGTCCCTGTAAAATGACATCAGCCAATTCTGCAGCAAAGTAGCATAATATCAACTTTCTCATCTCTAGAGAGGGGAATAAAGGACTTTACAGAAACCAAATTTATTTACCCTGCTCCAAACAAAGGAATCAAAATAGGTAGGGAAGGAAGTAAAAATAATTTTAAATTGCCATAACAATTTTCACCTCAAAATATATCTAAATTCAATAATCTATTAACAGTCACTGTGCAACAGAGGAAAAATGTAGGGTAAATGTTCTTTTGTTGGCTGACAGTTGTAACAGAGCAAAGAAAAAAAGACACCAAACATGAAAGAACATTTTTTAAATGGAGTGAGATGTAAACTATAGCTACCTGAAATGTTAGTCAAGACAAAATGAAGTTAAACATATATAAGATTTGTACTACAATTTAAGAATCGCTTACATTTTAAACATTAGCAACAACAAAAAATAAGATTTAAATATTTTGCTTTGGATGATATATCAAATTTGTTTTTGTAAATGTTTAAACATTTACTATTCAATTTTGCAAATAAACGGACTTGATGTCTCTAGCTTCTTTAGATACAGGAGAACATGCATAAAAGTATTAAACTTTGATAAAGAATTTAAAAGAAGCTGACTCCAATTTCACAATAATATTAAGCTGAAAATCCAGTTTCTTAATATCTTCCTTCAACATCTTTGTTCATTAGGCTCAATTTAAAGCAAATTAAATGGCTCTCCATTATTCCGACAAAACAGGTTACTTTTTCACATTTTCAGGAAAACAAAACTACTCTAAAGCTTTTTTCCCCCTTAATTCAACATCTATAATAGTTATCTACCCAGTTCTAACCTACATTGTAATACGAGAATGTGCTATAAAATATATTCATATAACCGGAAACAACAGGAACCATAATTAAATATGTTCTAGTTTACAAATGATAACGTGCTATTAGGATCAAAAATATATAAATGGGATTTTTAGAAGTTCAGTTTTTAACAATGACACCATGGTATCAGACAACAGGTTTTTTTTTTAAATGTAGCCACTAACACAATAAAATCCTACCTAGGTATAAAATGGATTCAATTTAGAATGAATAAAATGAAAGAATATTTAGGTAAACACTAAAAAACAAAACAAGGCCTTCAAAAGTCTTACCTATTTTGTTTAGAATAAACCTAAAGAAGTCTGGTGAAAAGACTGAAACTGCAAAATATCATTTTCAAAAAGGAAGTAACAGAAAAAGGCATACTAAAGTTCCCAAGTGGTTACTATCAGTACATAACACTTCAAATGGTAAACAGGAAAGTAAAAGTAAGAAGTAGCACAACATGTACTGTGTAAAAAATATTTCTGGGGATACAACAACAGATACATAGGACTCATTAACAAGAGTAGAAAAATGTGTACCATATGCTTTATAAGCAGTAGAGCAAATAATACAAAAACTCTGTCCTCTTGTTTATAAAAGGTTTAATACGTACATCACATGTTGCACGTAACATGCTATGTAATTATTTCCCCATTTCACACAAAAAGGAAACCATTTTTAGTAATGCTAAAGAACTCTGAAAAATGTATTAAATCAATTTTGTTCAAATGAGCATGGGCAATACATTTCTAAAAATGACAAATCTGCTAAGAAAGGCAATTTTTATCTGAAAGATTTGACATTGGCCTCCAAATTCTTAAACAGTAATCACTTCTCAAAAAGTCAATGAAAATTTGACATAAACCAGAAATTAATACTATTTTATGCACCTATGTGTTAATGGCCTACATCTTAAATATTAACTGAAATGGGACTGGCATAGCCCAGTGAGGAGGTGGAGAGAGTCCTAATATTTGAAAGCCCTCCAAATTTTTAGTGAAATGAGACTCTCACTTCAAAGAAGCTAATTCATTAGGTAGAACCACAAATAGAAGTAGATGAATAGGTAAATGTAGAACACTAAAAAATAATGCTGCAAAATGACATTTATCTCATTTTAATAAAACTCAACAAAAGGCTAGAAGAACAAAGTAGCATTCAAGTCGATTATAGGCATTAAAAAGCATTAACACCTAATTTAGAAGTTTCAAAGAACGCTTACCTCTTACTAACTGGGTACATTTCACCACATCTGTGTGTGGGTGTTCAATGGTGATCTCAAAACCTGAAATGAAAAGCACCTTTTTCCCAATCACTTACCACTACAATACTTGCCTGAGAAATTCCATTCAGCACACAACCATAAATGTATAACATATTTTTCATTATTAGAAAAATCCAAAGACAAGTTAGTTTCTCATCACTGACATGCTCATTATACCTCCAATGATGAGAAATAACTTCTTCCCGCAAATAATGTTTCAATTATAAAAATTGATAACAAAGTCAAAGTTATTTGTAGATTGGGGGTAATATTTATTCAGAATTCTAAATTACAATTAGTTTGAGATTATCCTCAAGTTAAAAACAAACTAAAATCATGACAAACACAACTACTAAGCTTGCCCCACAATTTAAGCAGGGAATTCAAGTATATAATACATTTTAAAAATGTATTCCAACTCTTTCTTTCAGAAAGTGTGAAAAGAACATTTTTCATAAATATGACCTTTGGGCCACAGTATGAGAAATGACTTTTTAAATGATATAGTTAGCTTATAACTATGTTTCATTAATAATAAAACAAAACTGTTAAGGCCTGGAGACCTTATAGGCCTCAAGATTCATTAAATCACTGTTTCTAAAACCAAAGATGAAATGTTGAAAAGCTTTCAATGTCCAATCGATCCTTAGGTGGGGAAGGGTTTTTCCTTTTTTAAAAAAGTAGAAGTCACCTCTAGTGCCTTCAGAAGCAGTAAATGAATAATACCTTGATAAATAGGTAATCTGGATTTATAAAGTTATTGTGAGGTCTAATTATATTTCTACTGTAATTAAACCTGCAAAATCATACTTTAATGAAAGCCACAGAGGTACAGCTTAGAAATTCTAATGTTCCCCTTCAAATAATGCTATTCATTCTCCATGCTTAAGAACCTGTCATAAACAATATGAATATGACACAATAATTATACAGTAAAACAATAACTTTATATTATTTTAAAATAATATAACAATTTTTGTTTTCAATCTTCATTATATAAATGTTTGTAAATTTTCATTTATATGTATATAATTTTATATAAAACCTTAATATGTTAAACCATTGGATTTGGAGGGAATAAGAAGATTCTCATTTTTATTTTTGTGTCTTTTTATATTATAAAAACTTCAAACAAGTCATATGTATTTCAAACAAGTTGCTTTTGTAATAAAAAGAATCTGCCATGATGGGAAGCTATCATGTTTCACACTTCTATTCAACATTTGCGAATGGAGTAATAAATAAAAATAACTACCACAATAAAGAATGATTACTTATGACACACACTATGTGGCAAATGGTCTTTTATACATTATCTTTCATCTTCAAATGCATCATGTTAAGACAGGCATTATTATCCCACCTTGCCTCATCAGAACAGACGTACAAAAGGTAAAGGAACTTTGCCCAAGTTTACAAAGCAAATCAGAGGCCGACAGTATTAAACCCACATCTCTATAAAGCCCATGTTCTTCCTATCACACTCTGCCAGGTTCTTCCAGAAATAATATATAACTTTACATAAGTCATAAACTTCTTAGGCTTCAATTTCCTCATCAGTCAAGTGCAAGATTAGACTATAAGTAAGATTACTTAAGTTGCACGAACCTTGCAGAAAATACAATTTTTAGAAAAGGATGATCAACATTTAAATAACTATGTCACATTAAAAACTGTGTGATAAATTCTTTAAATACTGACTATAAGCTCTAAGAGAGCAAAGACTGCCACATATGTTTGTACACATTACAATCATATGCAAGAGCCCTAGAGGACCATTTCACTCTCCAGTGCAAACGCATAATGAAGCATAGTGTCTCAGCTATCTGAAAACCTAAGAAATCACAATGAAGGCTATGTTTACCATTCAATTAAATCATGCCAAATGAAGTTAAATTTCAAAAAATGGTTTCCTCATATCCAAGCAATACTATTTTGGCCCCAAACCTTGTTTTAAAATGAAACTTTCTTCAATGATAAAATTAGTCCAGAAATCTTTTCCTTTATTTAGAATACTGCATTGAAGAACACACACATAAAAATAATATCCGACATAAGTACATACCTAGGGTTTGTAGCATTATGGTTTCAAGTAAAACCAGTTCTTGAGTCTGTTGAAGGTATGCCTGCCAGATTAAAAAAAGAAACAAAAAACATTAAAATGCTTAAGGTAAACATAACACTACTAAGACCATGGGACTGTTAAATCTCATGAGAATTACACACTGATTACCAAAGAATCACAGTAGTTCGGAAGTAAGAAGGAAATAAATTGAGAGTGATAGAGAAAACTTATTTTCTGTGACAAGTCTAAACTGAATTACTTCTAATATAAGAAATGTAAACAGCAAACAACAACAACAAAAAAAACCCTAAAGATATTAACATGAAAGGGGGTACGTTAATTGAAAAAAAAAAAGAGATCTCCAGTTTGTAATGTAAAACTTTACCGAGGCATTGGCGCTCCAAGACACATTAAGGACAGGAAGCACCAGCTCAAGTAAAAATATCACACTCAAACCTGCCTTTAAAGAAAGGCTTATCAACTCACTCTACGATATTATTTCATGTAGTAATTCCTTGACAGTCATAGTAAATCAGTGAGTTATTTTTAGAATTAACTTCCTCTCTTCAGAAAAGACAAAATCAAAACAAACCCTCAAATCTCTAGATTAAAAGATAAATTTTAGATATAAAATACAATAACCTATCATACACCCATGGGGACATAAATAGAGGACCTTCTCCTTCCAACTTCAATAAATCATTTCCCTACTGCAATTACTCTGCAATAAAGGGTATGAAAAATTTTCTGCCATTTCATTCTTAGATCATGACAAGTGACTAGGTGATAAGAAAACACATCATAAATAAATATTCGTTTATGTAAGGATATATCGCTAAACCCAGACAGTGAAAGCACCTTTAATTTTATCTATGATCCATTTTGAAAAGGTCACTGAGCTAATTTTTAAAACATAGATTTCTATTATTTGAACTATACCCTAAGTATTCGCAAGAAATAATTCTGAATTTTTAAGTTAACAGAAACCATAAGAACTTTGAATAATCATACATTCTCTATTATTAAATGGCTACATTAATATTTTACTTTCTTAAAGCCAACATCTAGGATAAATCTTGTCATTAATAAAATAAGATATACCTAATTGGGACCTTAAACTTGATCCAAATCAAACTGAATTAATGTAGTCCGGTAGTTATTCAGTGGTTAAAAGTTCCTGATAAAGTAAGTCATCTAAAATAAGAGTGCTAGAAAAATGATTTTAAAGGCCCAGAATTCTAGCTGCTAAGATGTCAGAACATTTTTAAATGGTGCTTTGAAACAGGTCCATTAAAATATTGATGGAGAACAAGTTGTTTGGAAACTAATATTACTCTTTAGGAAAATTAGAATATTTAAAAAATGCTGTTCATGAAAGCATGAAAATGCATCTTTACGTATCAGAAAGCTAAGTAGTATCAGTACAGTTACGTGCCACATAATGACGTTTGTCAACGACGGATCACACATACAACAGTGGTCCCATAAGATTAGTACCACATAGCCTAGGTGTGTAGTAGGCTATACCATCTAGGTTTGTGTAAGTACACTCAAGGATGTTTCACAATGATGAAATGTCCTAATGACAAATCACTCAGAACGTATCCCCGTTGTTAAGTGATGCACGACTGTATACATGCAGTCTCAATAAAGGAACAATTACGTAAAAAGACTAATTACTGGTCTAAAGGTAAATCTGGAGGTTTTTCCATTCCTTCATTTGCTGACAATTTAAGAGTTATTTACCTTTGGTCTCAAATACACCCAAACAACGTAGGTGATATGACTTACCCTCTACATATAGCACAAGTTTGCTAAGAGGATAAACAACAAAATGTGAAACACTTAAAAAGAACCTTTGAATCAAAGCCTTACATGATTCAGAATGACATTTGAATTCACGAACATACATGAAATATGTTTCTGCCAGACTGCTTCATAGTATTACATTCCTAACTGGTAACAGAAATAAGTAGCATTCGGAAGGCGACACTAACTGAATTATATTTTTATTAGTCTAAATAATGAAAAAGTTTCAAATTTACAAAGAAAAACCAAAAAACCCAGTTTTTACATACATCACATTTAGTATCCAGCAGTGGCTCTAGGGGATGAAGACAAGCATGTGCTACTTTGATAACATGTTCAAGTTTTCGAGCCTGTTCTTCCACTTTTGCAGCCAAAAATAATGCAGTAGGTGATATTATCTGCAGAAAAGATACAAATTTGGTCATTTAAAAACACATAAAATTTGGAAAAACCTTCTAATTTCTAACGGGGGGGTGTGCAAGGAAGGAATGCAATATTAATAGTATGAATTGCAAATTGGGTTATGACAAGATCGATATAAGAGTTTTAATAAAGTTATTCATTAAATAGAACTAGTTACCTCAGTCTATAAAATGTTTCACTTGTTTTGCAAGTTGAATACTAAAGGGAAAAAGGTACAAGACTTATACTTTAGCTAAGACAAAGTCTAAATATTATTAATGTACATTGTAGAGCTAAAGGAAAAAAAAAAAATCTCAAGCAAACTAATGAAGCCATAGCTTAAAAAATAGATGAAAGGTGGGTAAAATATACCCAGATTTTCCCTCTTGATGGGCACAGTCACCACTTTCTAGGGTTCTTTTAATTAATGATCCATCATGTGGCTAAGAGCTATACAACAATCTTCCTTAAGAGACAGCAAAGGGATCTACGAGGCAAAATGAGAAGAGGATTCTGAACATGAAATTGCTATCTATTATCTATAATTATATCTATTACTTCACTACAACATTAAAAGTAATTAAAAAAACGGAATAAACGTAACGTAAACCAGTAGAGTAGAAACTTTGCCAACTGGAGATCAAGAAATTAGCAATTTTTTAAGCTTTAGTAAGTTATGTTCTTGCCATAGAAGAACACAGCACTACAAAGACAGAGAAACATCAATTTTGAGCAAATATTTACCCAAAAAGTTAGTAATAAACCAAATTGTTGACTCAGAAAACAGGCATACTTCAAACTCAACATTCTAAGATAACATACAAGAAATTTCTCATGGTAAGATAATTTCTAAATGACAAGATTCAGGTATATTATTTTTCAAGAGATGAACATCTGAGTCTCACTGTATCTTGGGGGTCATCAACCACTATACAGAAACAATGTGAGTGGGAGAAGAAAGAGGCATAAATCATGCTACATGATTTGGGTCATTAACATAAGAAGATGATTTCTGATATACAGAAGGTGGACCCTTTCCTCTGAGAGCTTTTAAAACAACTTATAAATATCATTGCTGAGACATGAAATTTAATTACTGGATTTTGGATCTGAAAGGGACTTTCTCTAGTCCAGCTCCATGTGCAGATGAGTAAATGGAGTAAAAATGACTTCAAGAAGTTCTCTTCCTGCTGTAAAAATCTTTAAAATAGACCTAAAATTAAGTGAGTTTGGCTCCAACAACAAGAAATGATGTTACCTTAAAAGGACTGAATAATTTCAACTTGGACTTTCAACTTATGTCTATCTTTTAAAATTAAAATTACAACAAGGAAAAGATTTTAAAAACTGAGAATGCTCAAAAAAGCAACTTATTCTTAGTTTTCATAGATTTAGAATAAACTGTTATCCTTTAGAACAGATTTAATTAAGCAACATCCAAATTAGTTAATATTCTTTTAATAGCAGTCATCCAGGGTGAGGGGTTTTCTGAGCTGTAGAAAGTATAAGATAACTGAGAGCAGACAACTATTTCCTAACTCAGTTATTTTTTCTACATACTTAAAATTTCATACCACTGCTATCTACTTTGTTTGATTAATTCCTTTTCTATTTAAAGGCTTAACTCCAAAGATCACCTCCTCCCAAGGTAAAATTCTTGAGTCAGAGTGAAATGCCCTTTTTTATTCCATAGGAAACTGTGCATACCTCTATCATTGTACTTGTACTGTATGCTGGTTTATTAATTTTGTCTGCCCCACCAGTCTAGAAGCAGTTTGAACACAGAGACTGAGTTATTCATTTGTGTTTCCATTATCAACCACTGTGCGGCCGCTGTTCAATATATTTGCTGAATGAATGACATGCGGATAATCCATATTTAAATATAAAGGCACCAATATTAAATTCAAAGTATTCCAAATGCCACAATAAAAATTTAAGAGCCAATATTAAGGTAAGAAATGCAAGAAACACTCAACTCAATAAAATGAAGATACTCTCAGTTTCCCACAATCGCTCATTTACTATCTCATTCACATCTATAAGGGGAATGGATAAGCCAGCTTTCAAATTTATCAGAGTGAAGCAACAGAGGTTCAAGTCAAAAGTCAAATTAGACTGAACTTATTAATTCTCTAACTTTCTTCCTAACTCCAGATGATCCAGAATTTCACTTACTTGTCTAAAAGGCACTTATAAAAGTCTCCAATAAGTTTTTCTTGGTAAAATCTCATAGGATTCCTAGTCACAGCTCCATCCTCTTCAGACTTGGTAAACCTCAATATCAAGAATTACTTTCAAACCCCACAGCTTTTCACATTAGAAGACAGTCTCAATGGAAATGAAGTATGCATACTAGTGAATGATTCTAAAATTCTAGAAATAATTTAAAAAATTAAGTATTCAGGGAGCTAAGCAATAATCTTCAGGGTGGATTCCTGGTTTATTTACCCACACTCCTCACAGAAGTCTTTCTGTTCCCTCTAAATAGGGCTCAATTCTCATCCTCCTCCAGTGCAACACTAATACCCAACACTCTTCCAAAGTTCCTGGTGAAATCCACTAACTCCATTCACATTTCCTCCTCTACAGCCTGCAAACATTTTACTCCATCAGGGCTGTAAAAACAAAACAAAACAAAATACCTTTTTAGATAAATACTTTGTAAATATCCATGTAAGGCTTTAATTTTAAGGATGACTAAGGAAGGTAATCAAACTAGGTACTACTGCTTTTCATATGGAGAGCTGATTCGGTTGTGTGGTTTGTTAAAAGGAAAAGAATTCCAAAAGTTTTAAGTAATGGCAATATTACTCGTTGGTCTGTAGCTTTTAAAGGTGAGCATACTTTTCAAGGCAACAAACACTCATTAGCACACGTAAAATTTGGTTCAAAGTCAAGAATTCATACCAGTAGTGAAGTAGCTACTCGGTTGGTTCAAGTGAACAAACAATTACAAACTCAGATTCAGTCCACTGAGGATGGGGACCATGCACTATTCGTCTTTGTGTTCCGGTACCTAGTTTAATAAACTTTCTCTAATTACCATAAATGGAAGAAAAATTGATTTTTAAACAGTTTGTCACTCTCATAGATGTACAACTATTTCAACGGGATATTAAGTTCTCAAAACAAGACAAATTTCTACAAGAATATACCATATAAATCATGGAGAGGGGGAGGTAGAGGTGATGAAGCCAGCTGTAGCACAGTAGTCAGACTGCCTCAGTGGAATCCTGGCTCTGTTATCTGACTAGCCTAGGCAAATTACATATTCTCTTTGTGGCTCAGTTTCTGCATCTGTAAAATGGGAGAAACAGTATCTGCTTATAAATTTGTGGTGAGGATTAAATGAATCAATATATGTAATGCACTTAGAATAGTGCCTGATAGTAAAATGACTCAAATATTATGTTACTATGTTGAAAAATTAAACATCAATGGCATATTGTTAGTGTTTATCTTAAATTTAAAAAGTGACAACACTTTTTAAAATTCCCTTCTTTCTTGCTCACCTTCTTCCTTCCATGGTTAAACTCAATTCTCTAAAGGTTCCATTGTAGTCTTAACTAAGCAGATTCAAACACTGAAATTATGATACTTGACATTACTTCAATGATTATACCCATATTCCTTTCTTCTCTTCTCCCTTGAGTTGTTTTCACCCTCTTCTCTTTTTCTATTCTTTTATATGTTTCCACTCCTACCTCTTGATCTGACTCCCTTCCTTCTCCATTTTTCCTTCTCCTGCCCATTCCTGGCCGCTGTGTCCCCTTTCTGCTCATGATGCCCTCACTGCTGACATTCTTCACTCTCCAATGCTGGCTTCAACCTTGATAGTTGGAGGCTAGGTCAGTCTGAATTAACAAAAAGCCTGGGTAATTTCTAAGTTACGGAAGATGGTTCTATAAGTCAGTTTCAAATGAATCATTCTTGTCTTTATTCTTTTAGTAATTAATTTTGTACATACAGTTGCATGTACATTTGTATTTAAGAACTACCATAGCTACCTTATTACTCTTCAATTTTAAATCTCCTAATCCAAGAAAAGCCCTAACAAAAGCTAAGAAGACTTCAAAGTCTGCTTTCTATTTGCTAATACATCATCAACAGGTTCATTGCTAATACATCATCAACAGGTTCATTCTCATTTGTTCTTATATTTCATCTTTAGGTCCTACAGGCAGATGAAGCCATTTCTCTTGTCTCTTAACTGCCCCAACACTATCCCCCCCCAACTAAGTCTAGGATAACTATTTTATGTGCCTTGAAAAGGGCTCCATTAATAAACATCCAGTTAGTTCTAGGTATCAACGCTCAAAATTTGGAAATCAATTGCCTAAGGATATAGTTAAGGAAAAGTGGTAATGGTATAACTTTAGCAAAGACTCACAGAAAGAAGTTCCTAGAAGAGGAAAAGGGAAGTAGAAACTTAGATACAAGGAAAAACAAGAGAGGCACAGCTCCCCAACAAAGAAGAAAATGGAATAGGTCAAAATGTCCATTTCCTAATAATAAGAAAGATCACCAAGCTCAAATCAATTTAACCAAAATTCCAGTACAATGCTAAAATGTGGCTTAAATATTTCATTTTGCTGCACTCAAAAGACTGGCATTACAGTATGACAGAAAATGTCAGTAACTCAGCTTGGCATTTTAGTTGCTTTCCTACCCATATAATAATGTATGAGTGTAATACTGTCAACAAAAGAAATTTACATTGAGAATTAAAAAAATCTTCATGCTGGATGTTATCTGCGACATCTAATTACATTTTAAAGAGAGCAGGCTTAATAAAGACTAAAAAATACTAGTATTCAGTATTACTGAAAAGCAGTACTGATTAAGAGAATAAGACTTAAATCCATAGAGTAATTACATTACATTTAAATATATTTAATTTGCTTAAATAAAATCTGCATTTTAAAACTCATTTCTTGAGTACCTCACCATTACGAATTCCTTTCAGAAACAAACAAAAAAGCAACTTATAGTT